GCTGGGCTGTTTGCTGGCTTGGTTTTTCCAGAGCCGAGGAGAGAGGCAGCCCTGCATTGCAGTTTGTAAACAATAAATGGGTTTTAAACTTTATTTCTCCCTTTGACTGATTTCGGTTCTTAGAGGTATTTTGCCCTGGAATTTCCTCTCCCTGGACTTACAAGGGAACAGACCGTGAATCACCCAGAACGGACAGGGCTGGGATGGAGGGAGTCCAGGGGGCTGCAGGAGACTGGAGGGACATCTGACCCAATCTGAGGGTCTGGAGGACTGCTCAGGGCATTTCTGAGTAAAAATCTGAAGATGTTCGTTAAGTGAAGAGAAAGGTGTGTGGAAAAAAGGGAGGACGAGAAAGGACTTAGAAGCTCGGAGTGGATCAGATCATAGGGCCAGTAGCCTACAGTTTTCAAACTGTTTTGAATTGAAGACTCTTAACGCACAGCAGAATGTATATATTACTTACAACATAGTACGTGTATGTACAAGCATGATCACACATACGTGAATTAAAATTTCATGAAACAACGAACTTCTGCAATATGCTCTGATATTTAATATTTTTCTAATTAGATACTTGAGAGCAATTACTTTATTTCCTGTCTTACCAATAGGTTAACACAGGAAGTTTGAAAATACAGGTAACCAGAGTGTACTAAGAACCCCTGGACTCTGATCAAAGGAGCAGAATTCTAGAATCAGCAAAGTGTGACCACCTTTAGGGATGTTCACCAATATTTGCATTCTCCTCTCCTACTTGGCAGGTGGTAGGAATTTACTTCCCTCCATTTTGAAGTAGCCTTGGAGCCCAGGAATCTGCATTCTAACGTGCAAAGGGGGTTGTGAGACAGGAAGTTTGAGAAACAGTGACACAGGTGATGAACTCCGAGAGGACAGGGCGGAGCCCACCTTGGCCATCACTGTAACCCCAGCAGGACCCACCACAGGGCCAGACACTTTGGTAAAACATGTTCAGTGAATGGTTTTAACTTCAGCCTTTTTATTTCTCCTACCTGATCTGGCCCATCCCCACCACACCAGCCTCATTTCTTGGCAGATTTCCCCTTGAATTTTCCTCTCCAACCAAATGGGACTATTCTTGGTTCCATACATTTCTCACCTGTGTCCTCCGCCTATGCCCTTTTCCTCTTACCTTCACTGATCAGTTCTGACATCCTTCAAAATGTAGTTCACATGCCCCCTCCTCTAGGAAGCCCTCCTTGTCCTGTCTTCCCCGGCTGGGCTTCCCCTCTGAGCTCCTCCGTGCCAACGCTTCTCTGGGTCATCAGTGTCTGTCCCCTCACTGGACTATGAAACCAGGGTGGCAGGGGCTAGGCCTGTATCAGTCATGGCTGGGTACCCAGTACCACCCAGTGCAGGACTGGGCTCACAGAAGGTGCTCAGAAAACATTTGCTGAACACACAGATGCACATCTGAGGGAGGAGGAGAGGCCATATCCTCTGGGGGCTCCTGATCACAGGTCTGATGGAGAAGGCTGAAGACCTGGACGTTGTTTAATCCCGACCTGTTGTCAGACACCAGTCTTCTCCAGGAGGACTGAAAGGAAAGGAGCGACACATAGCAGCAATTCACCGGAGAGTTCCGCTTTATTAGGGAAAGGTGCTGGGTTATATAGGAAGGGGCATGAATTGATTGAGGTGTCACTTCTACGGGGCTGGTGGCTGTTGGCTAGGTGCTGGGATTGGGAGGGGGGTGAGAGGTGATTGGGCTTCAGGTGGCGCCTGCGGGAACTGAGGACCCCGAAGAGAAGCCGGAAGTTTGCCATCTTACTGGTGGGGACCCTTCAAGGACACCCTCCAGAATGATACCCATTTCACAGGTGGCAAATTGAGGCCAGGAAAAGCCTCTCTGTTCTGGGGAGCCGAGATTTCTCACTTCTCAGTCCAGCCTCCTATTGGTCTTTCTCACCTCTTTCCCAGAGCCCCAGGCCTTTCCTTTTTTTTTCTCCCAATGATGAAATCTGAATCTGGGTAGGAGGTTTGACTGCGTGGGAGAAGAGCTGGCTGTGACCAGTTGGTATATTTTCTTCTCTAAACCTGAGGAGGGCAGGGGGGTGGACACTCCTGTCCAATCTGGGACCAAACCACAAATGCTGACCTTTTGGCCTGACCCATCCCACACTCCCTGCAGGTTCTGGGATTCAGGAGTACTTCAACCCTGCAGCCTCCTCCTTGCACCTCTCCTCCCTGCCTGGGCTGCTTCTTCATACCCTGGGGCCTTGACCACTGGGAGGGTTGCCAGAAGCTTCCCTGCCCCCAGCCAGGCCAGCTGCTACGTAGCAGGCCCTGAAACCAGCTGCTGGGGCCTGCCTGGTGCCTCTCAGGCTCCCTCTGCCCGAGGGCCTGGGACTTGAACACTCCTGGGAGGGGAGCCCAGTCTGTGTGTGAGGGAAAGTATGAAAAAGGCCTTTTTGATTTTATTTTAGATAAAATGTTGATCTCAAAAAGTCTTCACTGCTAAAGACACCCTGACTCGGTGGTTTTCCAGGCACCACCACAGTTACTTAACACACACAAACTTGGTTCACTTCCCCATGATCTCTGAGGCAGACACTACAACCATTCCCATTTCACAGTTGAGCAAACCATGGTGCTCACGCTGAACTGCAAAGCTACAATTTTCCTCTCTTAAAGCAACCGCTTTGGGCAGCGTCTATGCATTCTTGTAGAGACACTCAGTGCATTTGAAACAGAAGCTGCTATATATTCGTGTTTGTCCCCATAGACGGCAAGGTGCCCTGTCCTATATACTTCCTGAACCTTAATTTTTCTTCCCTAACAGTATTTCTTGACCACCTGATTTATTACAGAAACAGGCCCTCAGCCAAGTTCCCCATCTGTCTCATTCCATCTGACTTCTCTCAGCACTCTGTTCTGTGGATGTAGTTTGTTTAATGATGGAGGGAATGTATTAGTGAAACAGACAGGTGCCCAGCTGAAGTGTTTCGACTTTATACCAAGGGAAGATGCTGGGGCCACTCAGCGGGTGGCGGTGACTATGTTAGATCTTGGGAACATTCCAGGCTCTTCTAAACTCTGGACTGTTGCCTGTAGTGTTCTCTTTGCCTGGAATACACATTCCTGGGCTTGGTCTAACCCCGTCCTATCCCAGCTCTAACGCCTCTTCTTCCAGGAAGCCCTCCCTGAACCCCAGGCCAAGTCAAACATCCCTCCCTCGTTCCACTGTCCCAGCCCTGTTCAGTCTGCATCATTACTCTCTGGGGATGGGTCTGTCTTGGACACCACTGGGTCCCTGGCACCACCCATGAGTGCTCAGAATAAATGATGGTCCATTGAAGGAAATGTCTGTATGTGGGAAGGAGCTAAATGCAGGGGTAGCCATGGTAACCAATAGGCGTTCACGGCATGGACCAGGACCACAGATACCTGAGTTCAAATCCCCTTTCTGCTACCAAATCAGTGAAATGGGAGAGTGAGGTCCCAAGGCTTAATGGAGATAAGATAACACCAAACAGCACTTCAAACAGGGCAGGAAGCCCCTCCTACTGCTGCCTGATGGCTTTGAAACTGCTCTTTGCTCTCACTGGAATGTTCTTCCCATACTGTCCCAGTGGGCTCCTTCTTTCATTTAGGTCTCACTGCAAATGTTACCTCCTCAAAGGGGCCCATCTTCACCACAGCATCTCTCTCTTCCATGCAACGCTCGAACTTTCTCCAGCACTTACCCCGTTGACAGCCTAAGTTCATCTCCTTATTTCTTCTCACTAGAAGGCTGGCAAAGAGCTTCATCTTTCTTTTCTTTTTCTTTCTCTCACTGCTGAATCCCCAGCACCTTGGAAAGCACTTGGGCTTTAGTAAATACTGAAGGAATATTTAGAGAATGCATGGAATACTCAGGAATTGTGCCCTCATATTTTGTATCCACGGTCACAGTGTGCATGATCAAATTTTTATTCTCATTTTGACTCTAGGACAAATGGAACTGATGTTCAACTGGGAAGGGGTGGAGGTGGGACTTATACCCATGTCTGTGCGGCTCTAGGACCCACACTCTCAGTGTCCAGCACAGAACCAAGCACACCAGGCTTTAACAAGAGTTTGTTGAATGAATGTGGATGGGAGGTGGGTGGTGTTAAGAATGGGAGGATTTGGGAGAGGAGAGTATCTGAGAGACACAGGAGGTCTTCAGGGCTGCAGCCTGACCCCAGTGCCTCACATTTCGCAGGGAATCACCACAAGCTCTCAAACTCCTTCCAGAAAGAAGGTCTAGGGTTGGCAGTGACCAGGAGAGAGAGCTCACCACTAGGGCCCAGCAGCATCTGGAGCTGGTCCGGGCCTCAACCATATCCTTCAATAACAACGATAATAGCAGTCATCTTAGCAGTACTACTTAACTTTATTAAGGGGTACCCTGTACCCTGCCTGAATGTTTTGAACGTATCTCATTTGATCTACACAGCACCCAAGGAGTTTTGCTCTATTATTCTTCCTCCCGCTTTACAGATGTGGAAACTGAGGCTCACTGAGGTTGTGTCTTGCCTGAGGCCCCATAGCTGCTGCAGGAGAAAGCTTCCGAGGTTATCACTATGCCTAATTTTGGAGCAAGTGTGAAAACCTGAAATGTTGTCAGGTGGGGAAGGAAGTAGGATTTCAGCACTGCTATGCAGAGCAGGAAGTCATGATTGATTCACTGGAAACATCCACGTGACCAAAAAGGATTTAGGGAGGCGGCCCCGCAGGTAGGGTTAGGCCTCGGCAGGTAGGCGTGCAACTCCCAACCTCCCCAGATGTGGCCTCAAGTGACTTCCTTTGGCTGTAAGCCCCCATAAGTTCCTCTGGCCAGTTTTACCCATCTGGAGAATGGATATAATAACAGGTCCAACCTCACCAAGATGTTATGAATATTCCAGTGAAATCACCCAAATACTTCTGTTCAAAAATCAGCGAATGGCACTTTTTTTGCATTTTATGTAAATTTTACCTAAAAAGAGAAAAGAACTGTGTGCAAATATTGAACTCTGATCAATTAATGCACATGGGGCGATGTGTTTAAAGGGAAAGCACACTGATGTGAGCAACTTACTTTGGCATTCATCAAAAAAGGTGAATGGACAGACCGAGAGATCAATGGATGGAAGTACGATATAGAAGTATATGATGCAGTAGTTGTAAACTCTAGGAGGAAGGCAAATGGGTGCTGTAAAATACTTCCCAGTTTTGTGTACGTTTGAAAATTTTTGTAATGAAATACAGAAGAAATTTTCGGTGAAACATTCGTAAATGTATTAGCACAGTCATTAATTTGAATTATAATTTTTACTGGCTGAATTGCCAGTTGGGTACCCTGGGTGAAGTGGATTACAATCCCAAATATAATAACTGCCATTAATTGCTGGGTCAGAATCCGAATGGGGAACACTTACTTAAAAATTATTAACATTTTAAAATTAATAACTCCATTTCACTTTAATTTTACACCAATCCTTTGAGGGATGAGCTTTTTAATCTGCGTTTTACGTTAGAGGAATTCAAATCTGCAGGGAGACAGAAGATGGAACTCAGGAGCCCCAGGAGGAGCAGGTTTCCAAATTAAGCGGATCACTTCCACTTTTGCGGACACTCTTGCGACTGCGTTTAGTTGCAGTTTAGGGGCCCCAATACGCCCAATTACTTTGGCGGGGAAAAGCGTCTGTCCTTCACCCCGTCTCGGGCCCCACCGTCACCGGGGCCGCGCCCCTCGGTCCCAGGAGAGGGGGGCCTCCAAACGCGCTGCAGCCAATCAGCGCCCTCGGCCAGCGCCCCCCACCCCCTCCCGCCCTCTCAAAGCCTCACGCCTGCGTTAATCCCTGTAGGTTCCGCCAACTCCACTCAGAGGCGCGCGGCAGGTTCCCTTTCTGCTAATAGCCATCATCTTCTGGGATCCCGGACCGCCGCCTTCCGCACCCAGGGGCCTGGATTTCCCCTCCCGGCCCCAGGGATCTGGCTCCCCATTTCCTGGACCTGGCCTCCCGGGCCCCAGACTTGGGCTCCCGAGCCCTTGGTTTCCAGGACCTAGGCACCCTAGTCGCCGCCTCCAGCACCTTGGGAAGTTCCGGATCTGCGCTTCCAGGACCTCTTGAAGATCGCCGCCGTGGGGGCACCTTCTTCAGCAGTAAAGGACCCAGGTTCCAGCCAGAGAATCTCCTGTGTGCCTGACGCCCAAGAGAACCCAGGGGTTCCCAAGTCACGGTTCTGGGGCACCGGACATAGTCTAGAAGATCAGAGCCCCAGCGCCCAGCCTAGCAGTCCCCGGCACCCCAGCTCCCAAGGGCCAGGGAGCTTAGGCGCTGCGAACTCACTACTCCAAGGAACCCTCCCGAGTTCCGCCTCCAGGCTCTGTTACTCGGCTCAGTTCTGAGGAACGTGTACGTCCTGGGAAGGACCCCAAGAAGCTCCCAGCTTCCGGGCGCTGGGGAGCCCCGAGGCATCCGTCATGATGGCCGATCCACCTAAGGGAGACCCCAAGGTGCTCGCGGCGGCAGAGCACACCGCTAACGATGTCCCGGAGTTGGTCCCCACAGAGGACCCGGGCGCGGCGGGAGGTGGCTGCTGCGGTTCCCGCGACCAGCTGCGCCGCTGCCTTCGCGCCAACCTGCTGGTGCTGCTGACCGTGACGGCCGTGGGGGCGGGCGTGGCGCTGGGGCTAGGGGTGTCGGGGGCCGGTGGCGCACAAGCGCTGGGCCCCGCGGGCCTGGTGGCCTTCGCCTTCCCGGGCGAGCTGCTAGTGCGCCTGCTAAGGATGATCATCTTGCCGTTGGTGGTGAGCAGCCTGATCACAGGCGCCGCCAACGTGGACCTGAGCGCGCTGGGCCGTCTGGGCGCCTGGGCGCTGCTTTTTTTCCTGGTCACCACACTGCTGGCGTCCGCGCTCGGGGTGGGCTTGGCTCTAGCCTTGCAGCCAGGCGTCGCCTTCGCCGCCAGCAGCTCATTCGGAGCCACGGACGCCGTGGATGGGGACTCCAGTGAGGAGGTGCTCTATTCGTTCCTGGATCTTGTGAGGTGAGGTCAGACCCCGCCCGCCCGGTGGAGGGAAGACGGGGCTGCTTCAGCCACGTTAGGGATGGCGGGAGGGACCGCGTGAACAGGGGGGGCTTTGGGCCCTCCAGAGCCAGGGCATCTTCAGGGCCTCAGAAGGACACGATGGGATGGATGGTGGGGGAAGCTCCGGCCCTCTGTGGGGTCAGGGCACAGAGGGTGAGGGCAGATTGGGGGAGGGAGGCTTCTAAAGGTGCGGCCTGGGGCTGTAAGGGCCATGAGGGTGATAGGCAACAGTCCTGGAGGGGGTTGGACGAGGAGCGCTCAGAAGGGTCGGGAGCACAGACGAGAGTCTCTCCTGAGGGGAGGGCACCCTGGGGGGAACCTGGAAAGGGATCTTCAGGCAGCAAAGGCTCCAGGATGGGGCTTCTGGACGAAGATCTGAGTCTAGGGTCAGAGGGCTTGGGACCCCTGAGTAAGGAGCCTCTGGAGGGTCTGAGGACAACCGAGTGACCCTCCCCCAGGCCCCCTTCCAGCCCATGAGCTCCCCGCACAGTGCGCCATCTGGACATGCCCAGGCTGCCTTCTCAGCCTCCCTTCCACACCCGCTGCAGCTGGGCCCTGGTGGCTTCCCCTGTATTTGCTCCTGGAGAGTCCGGCCCCCTCCACCGACTTTCCTTCCTGTTGCCCCCTCTGTCTGGGCTCCCCACAACAAGGCTGCCCAGAAGGGGGCCAATCAGAAAGTGGCAGATCCTTTTCCTTCTGGCCTCTGCTCCTCCACCCAAGAAAGTACCGTCCCCACCCAGCCCTGGCCTCCCTGTTCTTAGGAGGACAGACTGCTGGGCCCACATGGCCTTGCCTTTGGGGCCTGCTGATTCAGTGGCTCCAGGTTGGTTGGGGACTTCCTGGAAGTGGGGGAAGGAAGTGATGAGTCACGGGACTGGGTTCCCCCAGCACCTTGGGGCATGGGTGCAGGCTGAGATGAGAGACTTGGGCAGGCTTATTTAGAAGTTGCAGCACGCTCAGGGTGGGGTGGGAGGAGCATCTCCTGGCTGCGGGAGATTAGCTGGGCCATGGCCGGGCCCTGGCTAGCCTGGGTGGGTACAGGCCAAACTGCAGACAGGCACACCCACCTGAAGGCTGTTTGCGTGTGTGGGCTTCCCCCGTGTGCCAAAATAGATGTAATTCATACTTGGCCAGCCACTCAGACTTAGCTGGAACATCTCAGAGCCACAAAACTTTATACCAACTAACACACAGCTGGACACAGGCGCACAGACACTCAGCCACAACTGCGACATCTCACACTGACACATGGTCTTAAACCAGCTGCCACACACACACCATGTACTGACTCCCCTTTACACAAACAGCCATGCATTGATGCCACTGACTATGTCAATTCATTGAACACTGCCTGAACACATGTTCGAGAGCACATACTCACACACACATCTGCGTGGCCATGTAGCAACAGTGTCCCACGTAGCTGAACACTGACCCATACTCCCAGCCAGATACCAACACTGTTTACCGACCCACAGCAAGAACTGTACAGCCACATCATTGGGGGAGAGGGAGGACCCTGAATGGTTAGTACTAGGCCTGGGTTCAAATCCCCCCGCCACCACTTCCTAGCCGGGTAAGTTTCTACAAGGCTCCCCAGTTCACCTGGGCCTCTGTAAAACAAGGACAATAGTGCGAATCCCAAAGGGCTGCTTGAGGATTACATGAGTAGACTGATGCAAAGCACTCACTACAGCTACTGAAAATGCGTTTTTGCTGTTATTTCTGTCACAGTATGAGATCCAAATGGCCAGTATCTGGCTGTGTCACACACTTACTGGGGTTTAATGAATGCTGTTACACACCAAGCAACACTCAGACATGGTCACACACCAGTGGCCATGGAAGCACAGATGCACATTTGTCACACAAACAGCCCCTTGTCATCTTCTTTCACTGCCTCTTTCTAGCACACCCAGATTTCCCCCCACATCCTCCCACCCACAGCCAGTCCCCAGGGCCAGCACTTTTATCAGCCCTCCCAGCCCTCCGGAGGAAGAGGCTGATGCAAAATGACCAGGGTCTTAGGTTTGCCTTGTGGGCTGGAGCTGAGGCCCCTGGTGACCCTGCCCAGCCTGCACTGCACAGCCAGCATTCCTCACTCCCAGTCCACAATCCCTCAGGGCTGGACCACCAGCCTACTGGGGTCCTAGGAGGCCAGCTCAGACTCCCCACACTTCGCATGACTGAACCTGGCTCAGGCATGTGTGGGGGCCATATTTGGGTGCAAATGGGACCTCCCCTACCTCCAAAGGCCAGGCCAGCCCCCAGATACTCCCTGAGTTCCCCCTTTGCTACTAATAACTACCTCCATGTCTATCTCTGCAGAAATGTCTTCCCCTCCAACCTGGTGTCTGCAGCCTTCCGCTCAGTGAGTCTGAGGGGTATCCTGAGGAGTGGGTGGTGGGTCGGCAGCAAGACAGCCAGATGCAGCACCGTGGTGCCTGGAAAGGCACACATGCCCACATATTCACAGGCCACACTGCAGAGTTCTTGGGTGGCTCTGAAACCCACCCATGCTCCTTATGTAGAAATGACAATATGAGTTCTGAGCCCCTCTGGGTTCTAATTCTAGCTTTGTGACCCCAGGCAAGTGCCTCTACCTCTCTGGGCCTTGGTTTCTGTCTCTGGAAAATGGAGGTATGAAAGACCTACCTCGGCAGGGTTGCTGGCAGGATGAAGGGAGGTCATGTTTAAGGGACATTTAGGGCAGCCTTTGAGCATTGCTAGTGTCAACATGGGGTGGGCGAGTCCCGGTGGCAATTGACACTGACTCTTCCCAACCCCACCTGCAGTATGCTACCTCCTATGATGAGAGAGGGATCGACGGAACTAAGGTGAAGGTGAGAGCGGAAGGCGGGATGGGGGGGGGCGCACCCCTTGGCACACTGTTGGGGTTTTTCCATTTTCCCATTTTGTGGTGTTGCTCTGCCTCTGTTTGCTCTCAGTGTCTCTAATATTTCATGTGGAATTTGTTTTAAACTCTCTGTAGGCCCTTCCCCATTTCTGTCTTTTTTGCCTTTCTGGATTCTGCATTTTCCCTCCTCTTCCCACTCCCCATGGGCTGGCCCTGATCCAGGCGTCTCTTTTCTCCCCATCTTACCCTGGCCTGCTCCCAGGCCTGCCCCTCTTCCCCGACCCTCAGCTTGGCAGCCAGGGTAGTTTTTCCAAAGTACAAACCTGACCCTGCCTCTCCCTTGCCCCACAAAGCCTGTCATGCTCCCTAGTGCCCTCAGAGAAAAGTCCAGCCTGCTCCTCACCACAGTCCATGGGACCCTGCCCTTGCCCAGCCACCTTTGCCTGGCTCGTTCCATTCCACCGCCAGTGCATTTCTCTACGTTCTTTGAAAGCTCAAGTTGCCCGCATTTCTAGTCTGTTACACACTGTTTCATCTCTCCAGAACCTGCCAGCACCCCTGTTTACCTGGTTCACCGTCCAGATCTTAGCCCCTTTCCAGGGAGCCCTCCCTGATTCTCCTCCCCACCGCCGCCAAACTGGCATCGTTCTCTCAGCTCCTGTACTCCCCTGGGTTCCCGTGCCCACTCTGGGTGGTCCCTGATGACAGGTCCATTTCCCTTGCACCTGGACTGTGAGCCTTGGGAGGAAGGGGCCCTATGTGTTGTCCTATCTCTGCTGGGTCCTGGGAGTACCCAGGAGAGGCCCTTAGTGACTGTGCAGGCTCACCGAGTGTTGCCGTCCTATCCCCATCTATTCCTTGCACAAAGGTGCCTGTTGGAGGCGAGGTGGAAGGTATGAACATTCTAGGCCTGGTGATGTTTGCCATCATTTTTGGCATGGCCCTGAAGAAGCTGGGGCCTGAGGGAGAGCTGCTCATCCACTTCTTCAATTCCTTCAATGGTGCCACCGAGGTGCTGGTGTCCTGGATCATGTGGTAAGTGGTGGGTGGGGGCTGGGGATGTGGGATGAGGCAAACTTCTATCTTCTCCTTGAAGCCAAATGGCCTGCATCAAATCCAGTGTTGACCATCCCCTGGCTGTGTGACTTTGGCCAAGTGGACTACCTTCCCTGTGCTTCAATTTCCTCCTCTATATGCGGACACTGTTGTAGTCCATAGAGCTAAGACTGATGCTAGCACCTTTTGGATCCTACTGGTAGATAACAAAGACAGCCTCTGACCACAGCTTAGCTAATGCATCTCAATTTCAGAGATGTAAATGTAATCAAATGTTTGCCTTTGGATCAATGGTCTAAAATAGTGCCTACTTTATAGGGTTATCACGAAGAAGAAACGAGTGACTAAGGTACAGTTGGAGCTATTAGAAAGTGCTTTAACTGCCTGGCACCTGTGAGCATTCACTTCAGGTTAGCTATGTTGTTATCCATGAGTTTTGTTACATGACCTCAGATAATGAGGGAAAAGAAGACGTGCACACACATCCAACTTTCCCCCTTTGCCCCTTTCCCCAGTTTCATCTCCATACAGTCTCACACTGATTCTCAGGACCTACACTAGATCTAGAAGGACAGAAATCAGGAGAGGGACCAGGGTTGCTGCATTTTTAACAAATCACACAGCCCCACCCTCCCTGGTTCCAGTGTAGCTAACATCGAAGAAGCTGCTGTGTGGAATGTAGTGCTCCTTGACAAATAAGAGCAGTTACTCAGAGAGGCTGGGTCGCAGCGGCCTGCGTTCCCACTGTGCTGCTGCCACTTCCCAGCTGTGTGCCCTACCACAAGTTACTTATCTTGCTGTGACTGTTTCCCATCTGGAAAATGAGGCTGATTTTCCTGCTGTGACTGTTTCTGTCTGGAAAATGGGGCCTATTGTACTGGGCACAAATGAATTGGAAAGTATAAAGCTCTTGGGGCAGTGACTAACCTAAAGAGCATGTCCACAGTAAACAATACTTGCTACTATTTATCAAGTACTTTACTTGTACAACTGCTGGACATATCTTATTGGCCAGAACCAAACCTTAGCTGCACAGGTGGCTGGGAAATGATGCCTTTCTTTTGCTACTAAGGAGAAGTGGGTTGGGAGACAACTGGCCCTGGCAATTGAACAGTCAAGGAGGCAGTCCTGGGAAGCCTCCTGTTTGGGAGGCACGAACACCTGAGGGAAGTCATTTCAGGAGACGGTTATAGTAATCCCAGCTGAAATTTACAGACCTTGTATTATGTAGAAAATGCTTTCAAGTCATTTCAACTGGCATTTCATTCTATCCTTCCAACATTCTTATGAGCTTGGTAGCATTAATATCCCTGTTTTACGGACCTATAAGATTTTGTTTAATTCAACTGTAGCTACAAGAAGCTAAAATAAGAGCTCCCTCATAGTGTTGTGGTGAAGATTCAGTCACGTTCAAGGGCTTAGCACATCAGTAATACTTCATGTCTGAGAGCTGTTGTTAAGACATGAGCCACAGCCATTTCATTTTTCATGATGTGGTGAGATAATTATATTGGGTTAAGTCATACTGCCTACTATAGTAAAGGAAACTCAAAAATGTAAATGGCTCCACACACAGTGGATGTTTCTTTCTCCATCATGTGTTAAGTCCAAATCTGCTTAGTGACCTTCCTCCAAGTGGTGATGAACGTGTCTTTTATCTCCCTGCTGCCCTATCTTCAAGGCGAGAAAGCCTAGAGGATGGCAGGGGAGGTGTCAACCTCAGCACACATTGCTCTGGGCACCTCCTGACTATGAGGGGTCTGTGGTCATGCCATGTGCTGGGCGCAGTGCCTGGCCCTGGGTGAGCATGTGGTCAGAAACTGCAATCTGTCTCCTGGGTAATTAGGTATGCCCCTATGGGCATCTTGTTCCTGGTGGCTGGCATGATCGTGGAGATGCAGGACGTGGGGCTGCTCTTCACCATCCTTGGCAAATACATCCTGTGCTGCCTGCTGGGCCATGCCCTCCATGGGCTCCTGGTGCTGCCCCTCATCTACTTTGTCTTCACCTGCAAAAACCCCTACCGCTTCCTGTGGGGCATCAGGACAGCGCTGGTCACTGCCTTCAAGACCGCCTCCAGGTGTGGCTTTGGGGTAGGACAGGCCAGCATTTTTAAGCTGAGGGTTTTGATATGAAGAAGATCCCCGAAATTTTGTATTTGGGGACATTGGATCTACGTACAGGGACCATGCTTTTCCTAAGTTTCTCAGAAGGTCCTGCCACCCCCAACCTCCACCCCACCCCCACCCCCGCCGCCATAAGGAATTTCTAAGGAAGCTACTGCCTTAGAGATTTTGTCCTTCCTCAGAGCCCTCCTCCTCCCTGCCAAGGCCTGGTCCTGGGACGCGGGTGCTCCAGCCTGCATCCAGCCTCTGGGAGTGCCTTCCACCTTCTCTCCTGGGTATCTCACCCGTCTCTGCTCACCTGTCCCCCCAGAACTCGGTTCTTCCCTGCAGCGACATCCCCAAAGCAAGGGGTGGTCTGAGGTGCAGTGGGAAGGGGGTGTGGGCCAGTGAGCTCTCAGGCATCACAGGATTTAGGTACGGATTTTTGTGTATATTTTGAAGGGCGGCAGTCTGTTCTACCCCAGAGAGCCCAGGACTCAGGCATGCTGGAATCTTTGCATTCTGGGGATCCCTGTTCTGCCCCTGGAAAGGGAATGCCTTGGAGAGCTAGGGAGCCATGTGGGTGGAGGCCTGGGGGTAGTTGGGGACATGTGTAGGCTGCTGGGCAGAGCCTTGGCTGTGAACCGGGCCTGCGTGGGGGGGACTAGGGGTGGGGCGGTCGGGGGGCACCTCCCAAAATGACTGCAGGGTGGTCCCGTTCCTCGCAGCTCCACCACGCTGCACACGATGACGACGTGCGTGGAGAGGAATGGCGTCGCCAAGCATATCAGCTGCTCCGTCCTGCCCATCGGTGCCGCGTTCAACAAGGATGGTGGTGCGCTCTTCCACGGTGTGGCCGCGGTGTTCATTGCACAGCTCAACCACCAGTCCCTGGACTTTGCGAAGATCATCACCATCCTGTGAGTGCGGGGTGACTGCTGCTAGTAGCCCCGACGCACCTGACCCTTCCTCTGAGAGTAAACTCAGGCTGAGGGGAGCAGAGCTCGGGTGGCAGCTTCTCCCACCACCGAGGCATCTCTGTGACCTCCCCACCTCCCCCAGGGTCACCGGTATAGCGTCCAGCGTGGGTACTGCGGCCATTCCTGGTGGAGGTGTCCTCACGGTGGCCATCTTCCTCGAGGTAGTCGGTCTCCCAGCTCATGACATCTCCTTGTTCCTGGCTGTGGACTGGTTTCTGTAAGTGTGGGTTTGTGGCTCAATGCGGGTAAGGGGCAGGGGCACCCCTGGGAGTGGAGAGGAGCAGGAGGTTCATTGAGCACCTCTAGCTAGAAAAGAGGAAGGAGGTCTAGAGAAAAGGGAATGAGAGCTTGAATATTCCAGTCAGAGGGCCGGAAGTGATCTCTGGGGTTTTGAGAACCGTAAAATGGTAACACACACCAGTGGTTACTAAAGTGGATCCGTAGGCCAGGCTGCTGTGTTCAAAGCCCATTGCCACCCTTGCTAGCTATTAGTGACCTTGGACAAGTAGTTAATCTCTGTGTCTCAGTTTCACCAACTGTAAAATGGAAAGACTAGTCTCTCCTTGAGGATTGGATGACATAATACATGCAACTGCTTTATAACAGCCCATAGTCAGTAGTAAATGCTACATAATTGTTAGCTATCACGATTAGCTTTTAAACACATAAAAGATTAGAAAACAATTTGGTTTGAAAAGTTAAATATAGAGTTACCATATGTCTCAGCAATATTACTCCTAGGTATGTACTTGAGAGAATTTGAAAACGTTCAGAAAAACTTGTCCATGAATGTTCATAGCAGCATTATTCAGAATAACAAATAAACAGGTGGAAACCCAAATGTCTGTCAGTTGATGAATGGGTGCATAATGTCACATATCCATATGATGAAATATTATTCAGCAATAAAATGGAATGAAGCTCTGATACATGTATATATTTATGGATGACCCTATGCTAAGTGAAAGAAGCCACACACATAGGACCACATACTGTGTGATTCCATTTGTATGAGATGTCCAGCGTAGGCAGATCTATAGACAGAAAATAGATCAGTGGTTACCTAGGGCTGGGAGAGGGGGATTGATGGGGTGGGGGTGGGTGTCACTTGCTTAATGGGTTGTGGAGTTGAGATGAGAGACTTGGGCAGGCTTATTTAGAAGTTGCAGCACGCTCAGGGTGGGGTGGGAGGAGCATCTCCTGGCTGCGGGAGATTAGCTGGGCCATGGCCGGGCCCTGGCTAGCCTGGGTGGGTACAGGCCAAACTGCAGACAGGCACACCCACCTGAAGGCTGTTTGCGTGTGTGGGCTTCCCCCGTGTGCCAAAATAGATGTAATTCATACTTGGCCAGCCACTCAGACTTAGCTGGAACATCTCAGAGCCACAAAACTTTATACCAACTAACACACAGCTGGACACAGGCGCACAGACACTCAGCCACAACTGCGACATCTCACACTGACACATGGTCTTAAACCAGCTGCCACACACACACCATGTACTGACTCCCCTTTACACAAACAGCCATGCATTGATGCCACTGACTATGTCAATTCATTGAACACTGCCTGAACACATGTTCGAGAGCACATACTCACACACACATCTGCGTGGCCATGTAGCAACAGTGTCCCACGTAGCTGAACACTGACCCATACTCCCAGCCAGATACCAACACTGTTTACCGACCCACAGCAAGAACTGTACAGCCACATCATTGGGGGAGAGGGAGGACCCTGAATGGTTAGTACTAGGCCTGGGTTCAAATCCCCCCGCCACCACTTCCTAGCCGGGTAAGTTTCTACAAGGCTCCCCAGTTCACCTGGGCCTCTGTAAAACAAGGACAATAGTGCGAATCCCAAAGGGCTGCTTGAGGATTACATGAGTAGACTGATGCAAAGCACTCACTACAGCTACTGAAAATGCGTTTTTGCTGTTATTTCTGTCACAGTATGAGATCCAAATGGCCAGTATCTGGCTGTGTCACACACTTACTGGGGTTTAATGAATGCTGTTACACACCAAGCAACACTCAGACATGGTCACACACCAGTGGCCATGGAAGCACAGATGCACATTTGTCACACAAACAGCCCCTTGTCATCTTCTTTCACTGCCTCTTTCTAGCACACCCAGATTTCCCCCCACATCCTCCCACCCACAGCCAGTCCCCAGGGCCAGCACTTTTATCAGCCCTCCCAGCCCTCCGGAGGAAGAGGCTGATGCAAAATGACCAGGGTCTTAGGTTTGCCTTGTGGGCTGGAGCTGAGGCCCCTGGTGACCCTGCCCAGCCTGCACTGCACAGCCAGCATTCCTCACTCCCAGTCCACAATCCCTCAGGGCTGGACCACCAGCCTACTGGGGTCCTAGGAGGCCAGCTCAGACTCCCCACACTTCGCATGACTGAACCTGGCTCAGGCATGTGTGGGGGCCATATTTGGGTGCAAATGGGACCTCCCCTACCTCCAAAGGCCAGGCCAGCCCCCAGATACTCCCTGAGTTCCCCCTTTGCTACTAATAACTACCTCCATGTCTATCTCTGCAGAAATGTCTTCCCCTCCAACCTGGTGTCTGCAGCCTTCCGCTCAGTGAGTCTGAGGGGTATCCTGAGGAGTGGGTGGTGGGTCGGCAGCAAGACAGCCAGATGCAGCACCGTGGTGCCTGGAAAGGCACACATGCCCACATATTCACAGGCCACACTGCAGAGTTCTTGGGTGGCTCTGAAACCCACCCATGCTCCTTATGTAGAAATGACAATATGAGTTCTGAGCCCCTCTGGGTTCTAATTCTAGCTTTGTGACCCCAGGCAAGTGCCTCTACCTCTCTGGGCCTTGGTTTCTGTCTCTGGAAAATGGAGGTATGAAAGACCTACCTCGGCAGGGTTGCTGGCAGGATGAAGGGAGGTCATGTTTAAGGGACATTTAGGGCAGCCTTTGAGCATTGCTAGTGTCAACATGGGGTGGGCGAGTCCCGGTGGCAATTGACACTGACTCTTCCCAACCCCACCTGCAGTATGCTACCTCCTATGATGAGAGAGGGATCGACGGAACTAAGGTGAAGGTGAGAGCGGAAGGCGGGATGGGGGGGGGCGCACCCCTTGGCACACTGTTGGGGTTTTTCCATTTTCCCATTTTGTGGTGTTGCTCTGCCTCTGTTTGCTCTCAGTGTCTCTAATATTTCATGTGGAATTTGTTTTAAACTCTCTGTAGGCCCTTCCCCATTTCTGTCTTTTTTGCCTTTCTGGATTCTGCATTTTCCCTCCTCTTCCCACTCCCCATGGGCTGGCCCTGATCCAGGCGTCTCTTTTCTCCCCATCTTACCCTGGCCTGCTCCCAGGCCTGCCCCTCTTCCCCGACCCTCAGCTTGGCAGCCAGGGTAGTTTTTCCAAAGTACAAACCTGACCCTGCCTCTCCCTTGCCCCACAAAGCCTGTCATGCTCCCTAGTGCCCTCAGAGAAAAGTCCAGCCTGCTCCTCACCACAGTCCATGGGACCCTGCCCTTGCCCAGCCACCTTTGCCTGGCTCGTTCCATTCCACCGCCAGTGCATTTCTCTACGTTCTTTGAAAGCTCAAGTTGCCCGCATTTCTAGTCTGTTACACACTGTTTCATCTCTCCAGAACCTGCCAGCACCCCTGTTTACCTGGTTCACCGTCCAGATCTTAGCCCCTTTCCAGGGAGCCCTCCCTGATTCTCCTCCCCACCGCCGCCAAACTGGCATCGTTCTCTCAGCTCCTGTACTCCCCTGGGTTCCCGTGCCCACTCTGGGTGGTCCCTGATGACAGGTCCATTTCCCTTGCACCTGGACTGTGAGCCTTGGGAGGAAGGGGCCCTATGTGTTGTCCTATCTCTGCTGGGTCCTGGGAGTACCCAGGAGAGGCCCTTAGTGACTGTGCAGGCTCACCGAGTGTTGCCGTCCTATCCCCATCTATTCCTTGCACAAAGGTGCCTGTTGGAGGCGAGGTGGAAGGTATGAACATTCTAGGCCTGGTGATGTTTGCCATCATTTTTGGCATGGCCCTGAAGAAGCTGGGGCCTGAGGGAGAGCTGCTCATCCACTTCTTCAATTCCTTCAATGGTGCCACCGAGGTGCTGGTGTCCTGGATCATGTGGTAAGTGGTGGGTGGGGGCTGGGGATGTGGGATGAGGCAAACTTCTATCTTCTCCTTGAAGCCAAATGGCCTGCATCAAATCCAGTGTTGACCATCCCCTGGCTGTGTGACTTTGGCCAAGTGGACTACCTTCCCTGTGCTTCAATTTCCTCCTCTATATGCGGACACTGTTGTAGTCCATAGAGCTAAGACTGATGCTAGCACCTTTTGGATCCTACTGGTAGATAACAAAGACAGCCTCTGACCACAGCTTAGCTAATGCATCTCAATTTCAGAGATGTAAATGTAATCAAATGTTTGCCTTTGGATCAATGGTCTAAAATAGTGCCTACTTTATAGGGTTATCACGAAGAAGAAACGAGTGACTAAGGTACAGTTGGAGCTATTAGAAAGTGCTTTAACTGCCTGGCACCTGTGAGCATTCACTTCAGGTTAGCTATGTTGTTATCCATGAGTTTTGTTACATGACCTCAGATAATGAGGGAAAAGAAGACGTGCACACACATCCAACTTTCCCCCTTTGCCCCTTTCCCCAGTTTCATCTCCATACAGTCTCACACTGATTCTCAGGACCTACACTAGATCTAGAAGGACAGAAATCAGGAGAGGGACCAGGGTTGCTGCATTTTTAACAAATCACACAGCCCCACCCTCCCTGGTTCCAGTGTAGCTAACATCGAAGAAGCTGCTGTGTGGAATGTAGTGCTCCTTGACAAATAAGAGCAGTTACTCAGAGAGGCTGGGTCGCAGCGGCCTGCGTTCCCACTGTGCTGCTGCCACTTCCCAGCTGTGTGCCCTACCACAAGTTACTTATCTTGCTGTGACTGTTTCCCATCTGGAAAATGAGGCTGATTTTCCTGCTGTGACTGTTTCTGTCTGGAAAATGGGGCCTATTGTACTGGGCACAAATGAATTGGAAAGTATAAAGCTCTTGGGGCAGTGACTAACCTAAAGAGCATGTCCACAGTAAACAATACTTGCTACTATTTATCAAGTACTTTACTTGTACAACTGCTGGACATATCTTATTGGCCAGAACCAAACCTTAGCTGCACAGGTGGCTGGGAAATGATGCCTTTCTTTTGCTACTAAGGAGAAGTGGGTTGGGAGACAACTGGCCCTGGCAATTGAACAGTCAAGGAGGCAGTCCTGGGAAGCCTCCTGTTTGGGAGGCACGAACACCTGAGGGAAGTCATTTCAGGAGACGGTTATAGTAATCCCAGCTGAAATTTACAGACCTTGTATTATGTAGAAAATGCTTTCAAGTCATTTCAACTGGCATTTCATTCTATCCTTCCAACATTCTTATGAGCTTGGTAGCATTAATATCCCTGTTTTACGGACCTATAAGATTTTGTTTAATTCAACTGTAGCTACAAGAAGCTAAAATAAGAGCTCCCTCATAGTGTTGTGGTGAAGATTCAGTCACGTTCAAGGGCTTAGCACATCAGTAATACTTCATGTCTGAGAGCTGTTGTTAAGACATGAGCCACAGCCATTTCATTTTTCATGATGTGGTGAGATAATTATATTGGGTTAAGTCATACTGCCTACTATAGTAAAGGAAACTCAAAAATGTAAATGGCTCCACACACAGTGGATGTTTCTTTCTCCATCATGTGTTAAGTCCAAATCTGCTTAGTGACCTTCCTCCAAGTGGTGATGAACGTGTCTTTTATCTCCCTGCTGCCCTATCTTCAAGGCGAGAAAGCCTAGAGGATGGCAGGGGAGGTGTCAACCTCAGCACACATTGCTCTGGGCACCTCCTGACTATGAGGGGTCTGTGGTCATGCCATGTGCTGGGCGCAGTGCCTGGCCCTGGGTGAGCATGTGGTCAGAAACTGCAATCTGTCTCCTGGGTAATTAGGTATGCCCCTATGGGCATCTTGTTCCTGGTGGCTGGCATGATCGTGGAGATGCAGGACGTGGGGCTGCTCTTCACCATCCTTGGCAAATACATCCTGTGCTGCCTGCTGGGCCATGCCCTCCATGGGCTCCTGGTGCTGCCCCTCATCTACTTTGTCTTCACCTGCAAAAACCCCTACCGCTTCCTGTGGGGCATCAGGACAGCGCTGGTCACTGCCTTCAAGACCGCCTCCAGGTGTGGCTTTGGGGTAGGACAGGCCAGCATTTTTAAGCTGAGGGTTTTGATATGAAGAAGATCCCCGAAATTTTGTATTTGGGGACATTGGATCTACGTACAGGGACCATGCTTTTCCTAAGTTTCTCAGAAGGTCCTGCCACCCCCAACCTCCACCCCACCCCCACCCCCGCCGCCATAAGGAATTTCTAAGGAAGCTACTGCCTTAGAGATTTTGTCCTTCCTCAGAGCCCTCCTCCTCCCTGCCAAGGCCTGGTCCTGGGACGCGGGTGCTCCAGCCTGCATCCAGCCTCTGGGAGTGCCTTCCACCTTCTCTCCTGGGTATCTCACCCGTCTCTGCTCACCTGTCCCCCCAGAACTCGGTTCTTCCCTGCAGCGACATCCCCAAAGCAAGGGGTGGTCTGAGGTGCAGTGGGAAGGGGGTGTGGGCCAGTGAGCTCTCAGGCATCACAGGATTTAGGTACGGATTTTTGTGTATATTTTGAAGGGCGGCAGTCTGTTCTACCCCAGAGAGCCCAGGACTCAGGCATGCTGGAATCTTTGCATTCTGGGGATCCCTGTTCTGCCCCTGGAAAGGGAATGCCTTGGAGAGCTAGGGAGCCATGTGGGTGGAGGCCTGGGGGTAGTTGGGGACATGTGTAGGCTGCTGGGCAGAGCCTTGGCTGTGAACCGGGCCTGCGTGGGGGGGACTAGGGGTGGGGCGGTCGGGGGGCACCTCCCAAAATGACTGCAGGGTGGTCCCGTTCCTCGCAGCTCCACCACGCTGCACACGATGACGACGTGCGTGGAGAGGAATGGCGTCGCCAAGCATATCAGCTGCTCCGTCCTGCCCATCGGTGCCGCGTTCAACAAGGATGGTGGTGCGCTCTTCCACGGTGTGGCCGCGGTGTTCATTGCACAGCTCAACCACCAGTCCCTGGACTTTGCGAAGATCATCACCATCCTGTGAGTGCGGGGTGACTGCTGCTAGTAGCCCCGACGCACCTGACCCTTCCTCTGAGAGTAAACTCAGGCTGAGGGGAGCAGAGCTCGGGTGGCAGCTTCTCCCACCACCGAGGCATCTCTGTGACCTCCCCACCTCCCCCAGGGTCACCGGTATAGCGTCCAGCGTGGGTACTGCGGCCATTCCTGGTGGAGGTGTCCTCACGGTGGCCATCTTCCTCGAGGTAGTCGGTCTCCCAGCTCATGACATCTCCTTGTTCCTGGCTGTGGACTGGTTTCTGTAAGTGTGGGTTTGTGGCTCAATGCGGGTAAGGGGCAGGGGCACCCCTGGGAGTGGAGAGGAGCAGGAGGTTCATTGAGCACCTCTAGCTAGAAAAGAGGAAGGAGGTCTAGAGAAAAGGGAATGAGAGCTTGAATATTCCAGTCAGAGGGCCGGAAGTGATCTCTGGGGTTTTGAGAACCGTAAAATGGTAACACACACCAGTGGTTACTAAAGTGGATCCGTAGGCCAGGCTGCTGTGTTCAAAGCCCATTGCCACCCTTGCTAGCTATTAGTGACCTTGGACAAGTAGTTAATCTCTGTGTCTCAGTTTCACCAACTGTAAAATGGAAAGACTAGTCTCTCCTTGAGGATTGGATGACATAATACATGCAACTGCTTTATAACAGCCCATAGTCAGTAGTAAATGCTACATAATTGTTAGCTATCACGATTAGCTTTTAAACACATAAAAGATTAGAAAACAATTTGGTTTGAAAAGTTAAATATAGAGTTACCATATGTCTCAGCAATATTACTCCTAGGTATGTACTTGAGAGAATTTGAAAACGTTCAGAAAAACTTGTCCATGAATGTTCATAGCAGCATTATTCAGAATAACAAATAAACAGGTGGAAACCCAAATGTCTGTCAGTTGATGAATGGGTGCATAATGTCACATATCCATATGATGAAATATTATTCAGCAATAAAATGGAATGAAGCTCTGATACATGTATATATTTATGGATGACCCTATGCTAAGTGAAAGAAGCCACACACATAGGACCACATACTGTGTGATTCCATTTGTATGAGATGTCCAGCGTAGGCAGATCTATAGACAGAAAATAGATCAGTGGTTACCTAGGGCTGGGAGAGGGGGATTGATGGGGTGGGGGTGGGTGTCACTTGCTTAATGGGTTGTGGAGGTTTCTTTCTGGAGTGGTGAAAAGATGCTGAAATTAAATAGTGCTGATGGTTGCAAAAGTCTGAATATATTAAGAACCACTAGATTGTACACTTCTAAGGGTGAATTTTATGGTATGAGTATTATAGCTCCATTTTCTAAAGCGGCACGCACATGCACACATGCACATACATAGTGTAAAAGAGGAAGCAAAGGAAAGATCCTTAGGATTCCAGTGGGGAATAAGAGCCTGAGGGAGACTTGAGGGTTTCAGGGGGAAGAGGAGAAGTAGATGGGTCTCCTGGGGCTCCAGCAAAAGAGAGGGATGACTTAGGTTCCAGAAGGAACAAGTCTTGTGCTTTGTTGGCAGAAGGATCATTTGGGGTCCAGGGAGGATGGAGGGATGAGCTTCTGGGTCCAGGAGTTGAACAGGCTTCCATGAAGGGTGTGCTGGGGAATTCAAGATTTCAGGGAGCAGGAGGTAGGGCTGAGCCCTGACCTCTCCCCTCCCGTTCACTTCCCCATCACTCCTACCCCCTCAGAGACCGGTCTTGTACCATCCTCAATGTGGAAGGTGACGCCTTTGGGGCAGGACTCCTGCAAAGTTGTGTGGATCGCACAGAGTCCCGGAGCCCGGTGCCCGAGCTGATCCAAGTGAAGATTGAAGGCCCCTGACTCCGCTGCCAGTCTCTACTGGGGAGGGACCCCTCCTCAAACCCTGTGGTGCAGGACCTGGGGGGGATGCTGACACTTACAAGAGGGAATTCCTCATGTAAGGTCTATGAGGAACCTTCCCTACACTGAGCAGGGGCACTGTGAACACTGGGATCATGAGGAGGGATTAATAAACAAACTGGGCTCCGGGGGCCCTACCCACACACTCCAGGGAGCCAGGGGCTCCGGCCTCCTCCCTGACATCACATCAGAGAGGTCTCATTGCTGGGATGTACGTGTGTGTGTGTGTGTATCTCCCCAAATCTCCCCAGTCCTCAACTCCCACCTCCACCCAAGGCTAGAAACAGCAAGAGTGTCCTCTACACCCCATCCTGGGAGCCTGCCTGGCCTCCCTGTCTCAGGGCACAGGGCGCAGGTCACCATACAGATTTGAAGGATGTTCAGACCGGTTGCTGGCCCCTTTGCTAGTTCTTTTGATGGCTGTAGCTGGTGTGTGTGCGTGTGTGTGTGTGTTGTGTATTTGTGTGAGTATTCTGTGACTCTCTCCATGATACTTCCCATGGTGTCCCCAGGCCTTTTGTTCCCTTCACTGTTTTTAAGAGAAACACTTCCTGGAACTCTGGGGACTCAGGGAGAGCAGGACAAGTACTACTGTAACTCCAGAGGACAGTTTTTTATGGTATCATCAATATACAATTACATGAGCAACACTGTGGTTACTAGATTTTCCCCTTTATCAAGTCCTCACCACATACCCCATTATAGTTACTGTGCATCTGTGTGGTAAGATACTATAGAGTCACTACTCCTCTTCTCTGGGCTATACTGCCTTCCCCATGCCCCCCCTACATTATGTGTGCTAATCGCAATGCGCTTGATCTCCTTCTCCCTCCCTCCCCACCCACCGTCACCAGTCTGTTTCCCTTTGATAACTGTTAGTCTCTTCTTGGGTTCTGTGATTCTGCTGCTGTTTTGTTCCTTCAGCTTTTGCTTTGTTGTTATCCTCTACAGATGAGTGAAATCATTTGGTTCTTGTCTTTCTCCACCTGGCTTATTTCACTGAGCATAATACCCTCTAGCTCCATCCATGCTGTTGCAAATGGTAGGATTTGTTTTCTTATGGCTGAATACTCCATTGTGTATATGTACTATATCTTCTTTATCCATTCATGTCCTGGTGGACACTTAGGTTGCTTCCATTTCTTGGCTCTTCTAAATAGTGCTGCGATAAACATAGGGGTCTTTCTGAATCTGGGATCCTGCATTATTAGGGTAAATTCCTAGGAGAGGTATTCCAGGGTCAAGTGGTATTTCTATTTTAGTTTTTGAGGAACCTCCATACTGCTTTCCACAATGGTTGAAATAATTTACATTCCCATCAACAGTGTAGGAGGGTTCCCCTTTCTACACATCCTTGCCAGCATTTGTTGTCTTTTGGATGCTGGCCATCCCAACTGGTGTGAGGTGGTATCTCATTGTGGTTTTAATTTGCATTTCTGATGACTAGTGATGTGGAGTATCTTTTCATGTGCCTGTTGGCCATCTGAATTTCTTCTTTGGAGAACTGTCTGTTCAGATCCTCTACACATTTTTTAATCAGATTATTTACTTTTTGGTTGCTGAGGCTTGTGAGCTCTTAATATATTTTGGCTGTCAACCCCTTATTGGATATGTCATTTATGAATATATTCTCCCATACTGTAGGATGTTTTTTTATTCTACTGATGGTGTCCTTTGCTGTACAGAGCTTTGTAGTTTGATGTAGTCCCACTTGTTCATTTTTGCTTTTGTTTCCCTTGTCCTGGGAGATATGCTCATGAAAAAGTTGCTCATGTTTATATTGAAGAGAGTTTTGCCTGTTTTCTTCTAAGAGTTTAGTGGTTTCATGACTTACATTCAGGTCTTTGATCCATTTCAAGTTTGTGTTTGGAGTTAGAGAATAATCCAGTTTCATTCTCTTACATGCAGCTGTCCAGTTTTTCCAACACCAGCTGTTGAAGGGGCTGACATTTTGCCATTGTATATCCATGGCTCCTTTAAGGTATATTAATTGACTATATATGCTTGGGCAGAGGACATTTTTGAGTAATAAAATTGTCAAGCATATCTCATCAGATGTTTTTAAGAATTTGACTAAAAGCACTAGCCACACAGAAAAAACAAAACCCAAACATGGTAAGTTGGACTTCATTGAAATAAACTAAGTGTTCATCAAAAAACACCATTGTAAACCACAGGGAGATAGCACTTCCACCTATCGAAATGGCAAAAATCAAAAACAAAACAAAAAAAACAGTACCAAATGCTGCTGATGTGGAGCAATTGGACAGCTCACACGTGGCTGGGGTGAATGCACAGTAATCCGGTCACTTTGGAAAATCACTGGGCAGTTTCTTATCAAGTTAAAATGTGCATGTGCCCTACAGCTCAGTAGTTTCACTACTGGGTATTTGCTGAAGAGAAATGAAATCCTACTCATAAAACTACCGTTATAGTAATATGTATAGCTGCTCTCTCCAAAATTGTCAACATTTGGAAATGAGTCAGTTGTATAAACTGGCAGAGTCAAAAGTACGATGTGAACTACTCAGCAAAAATAGAGTATTGATATGCAAGTTAGATAACTTAGATGCATCTCTCAGATAATATTTTGAGTGAAAGGAGCTGGAAATAGTACATACTGTACATTTCCATTTATATGAGGATCTTGAACAGGTTAAACTGTCCATGGGGAGAGCAACTGGAACAGTGGTGACCTAGGAGGGGAACTTACCGACTAGGAGAGGACAGAAGCCAGCTTTCAATGATACAGCAAATGTTCGATATCTTGATATGGGTTCTGCTTACATAGATGTATATATTTGGGAGAATTACCCCATACACTTAAAATGTGTGCATTTTATCCTATGTATATCATCTTCCAGTTAAGAATTTTTCACAGCTCATGGTGGGAATTCATTTTCCACCATAATCACCTATGTGGGAATGCAAGATTCCATTGGTAGCTGAACTTTGACTTTTAAATCATCCCCAATAATGACGTGCTTTTTTAAATCCAGAATTTGCTATTTGAATTAAAAAACTGCTCTGCAACTGCTGAACTCCTGTAGATATCCAGGGTATGGATGATATCAGGTGCGGCTCACCTATCCAAGCAGGATACTGTCTTGCACACTGCTGCAGCATGTCACACGCTACTGATACTATGGCCCCCAACCTCGGTCCCTAAGTAGACTTCTGCTAGGTGCCTAGAGGCAGCACCAATTTGGGTTCCATTATAGATGGTATCTTGAGTATCTTTAGCATCATTTTTCAGTTTATTTAGTTATATCTCATGATCATTGCAGTGCAGAAGGAAAATATAATTCATATCTGGTTCTGGGCAGAATCGTGTATTGCACACAGCATAACCACTAATGAGTTTGTTAAGTGTTGAATAACTTAGTCAGTGAGATTTCCAATGCTTTCTAATATGCCAAAGTCCTTTGTGGGTTGTTATGGAAGTGTTTAAGATTGTTTTAATGATACGTGGGGAAATCAGTTGGGGTTTTGGGTGGAGCAGTGAAGGCATCGTTTTCCCTGCTTAAGATAGTTACTATTTAATGCTTTGTTGGAAGTGCATTAGATTTAGAATTTGAGGGATGCCTGTTTAAAAAGGTGCATACCTGCAGATGTAATGTATTGCATATACAATCTGTGTACACATTATGTGTCCATATGAAAACTCTGTAACTGGGCTAAATTCCACCAAACAGTACCTACCCACTTTTTTCTATGCCATTTAAAAACTTTGTTGGGCACATGCCACTAATTTGCCTAAAATGCTGATCTACGTTATACAGAAAGATGGGAACCATCCCAACCTACCCAGGGTGGACCGGGGCTTCAGTGGCTCCCAGACCTGGCCTCCACTAGGATGTGATCACTCTGTGAGGGAGCCACCTTTGTCCTGTTCACTACCATACGCCCAGCACAGCATGGGGCTCACCCTCTGGTGACAATGGCTATGTCTTACCCAAAGGCCACTGGTGAAAATTACATAAGAATAGAGGAAAAGCACCTGGACAGCCACTCTGGGGTGGGGCTCCCACCTCTCCCTCCCTTCCTCCATTCATCCACCTACTCCTATTACTGGGACACTCTTCTTGTTCTTTTGAAGGAACCTGACTTGGGAGGGAGGCTCAGGCTGGTCTTGGGTTGGGCTTGGTCCTGAGTTCTGGAGTCAGAATAACAGTATGGGGTCATGAAAAACCACAACTTAGATACACAATATTCCCACCACCACCAAATTTCTTCCTGCTCCTTTGCAGTCTGTCCCACCCTCCACCGCAGGCCCAGGCAACCACTGAGCTGCTTTTGGTCACTAAGGATCAGCTTGATCTCTTCTAGAATTTCACATTAGTGGAATCATACAGTATGTAGCTTTTTGCATCCTATTTCTTGTACTTTGCATGATGCTTTTGAGATCTAGTCATGTTTTTGCATGTATCAGTAGTTAATTCCTTTTTTATTTTTTTTAATCATCAAAGAGTATTCTATTGTCTGGATGCACCACTTGTTTACTCACTCACTTGTTAACAGACATGGGTGGGTTCCAGCTTGGGGCCATTGTGTATAACGTGTGTTGTACCTAGATCTTTGAGTGGCATTTACTTTTCATAGCAAATGTTTTGTAATGCGCAGGGCGATGAGGCATACACAAAGTATTTACTACTTGGTCAGGCTATCAGTCCCCCCAACAGCATCTGGGACCTGGTTCCCCTTCCCTCCTGCTGTGCCCATTGTGAACACCTTTGTCTCTGGGTGTGATGATGACCGGTGTGTCCCCAGGAAGAGCCAGAAGGGTAATAATAGGGAGCTCGTGGCAGTGACATTGACCAACAGAACAGTAATCAATAATGTTTTCATGTTTTCCCCATTGGCATGGCCATACCAGTGCCTGGGCTGGCTTGAAGGCTGGCTTTGGGAAAGTCCTCTTGGCTCTCCTGAAATGAACTACATAGACAATATGACCTGCACATGATTTTAAAAACAGTCTCTACATGGCTCTAACTGTAATAAAAAGGAGAAATAACAGGATATTCATTTATAATATGCATTTCAATATATGAATGTGTGGGGCCACCTCCCAGAACCCAAGGAGGTAGCCAGATGTTTATACCTGTAATGCGTGCAGTTCTCATCATGGCTGGAAACATGGGGTATCAGTGTCTAATTACCACAGGCCATGTGAAACATGATTTTCCAAGATTGTTGACAATCTTTAGCCAAGTTTTGAACAAACACATATAAGCTACCCTCATTTAACGTGGTAGTGGCACTTGGAAAATTCAGAACCTATTAAAACCTTACAAAGAGGACGTTGCATGAGGAGAAAATTAGTTCCTGAGCTCAGATAATTCTTAACCTGATTTTTCCAAATAACCTTAAAACTTAAGTTAGTATGCACTGGTAGGGATGTGCTGGTTAAAATCCTGCAGTACTCCAGTTCTGGCTGGTTAATAGTACAAAAGTAATTGAGCAAACAGTAAAATTCAAAAGTACATGTTCTGATATAAACTCATTGTTCAAGTTAATTGGTGCAACGGGTTTCCTGTCATCTCATTACTTAGTTGGTAATAAAGATATTAAATATACAAAACTATGAGATAGTACTGTAATGGCTAGAAAAGTTTTTAATGTAATTGCTGTTAGCTGAGGGACAACAAAGAGCGGAAAAAACATCAAAACACTATGTTAAGAGAATTCTTCATCTACTGATAACTCAAGTCACCTG